TCAGCTCGTTTCTTTTCCAGGCCGAGGCGGGCGTCGGGGACTCCGCCGTTGAGTTGGTTGCGGAGGTCCGTCGTGAGGTTGAAGGCCTCCTGGAAGAGGTCCCCTCCGCCGACCTGGTCGGCCGTGGCGTCCTCATCGTGCTCCCTGGGCTCTTGGTCCTCCGGGATGACTTTGCTGACGAGGTTGCGGTTTGACTTAGTTCTCCCCATGATCAGTGGTTAGCTGTGCTTGGTAGCGACGAAGGGTGCTAACTTGATTGTTCTAGCTCTCAATGAAAGCACCAAATGATAGAGTATATCTCCTAAATTCTAGAGAGAAGCGAGAGCTAGAGAGAGAAGTGCAATAATATGTTTCAATAGAATGAATTTGTGACCCCTATAACTACTCCCAAGGGGAGTATTTATAGAGAAAATTAGGGTTGGGCTCCCAAGCCTTGGGCTTGGGAGGCCCATTTACAATTGGACCGCTACTGGGCCGAATACAAAGCCTCTAATGGGCTGTGCAAATGAGTAAGTATAGAATCCGATCCTGGGAGGTCTTCGTGGCCGACGAGGGCGTGACCGACGAGGGCACCCGAGTCCCTTAGACTCAGGACCGTAATCTGAGTTGGCCCCTTTTCGGCCGACGGGGGCGTCTTGGCCGACGAGGGCGCCACTCTGTTGTCTTGTGCTCTGTTCTTCCGAGTATGTGGGTCTTGGGGCTCAGACCCATATACTCCATCAATAATAATAGTAGTAGTATTAGTAATAATAATAAGAAGAAGAATAATATGAATAATAATAATTTTATTATTGTTTGGTATGAAGTAATGAATTTTGTATTATTGTAGATGATAAACTAAATCATGCAATGAAGTTGAGATGAACACATATAGAATTTATAGGAAACAATTAACAATCTTAAATGAAAAATTAATCATTAAATATTAAAAATAATACATTTATAACAGCATAGTTACCAACACTAACCCCACTATATGAACTATTAGTCATATCTGTGTCAATAAGTTCAATATTTTCCAATGGACAGGAAGACTTCACTTTGTTCATTAGGCTAACTGAGAGAGGCTCACTGCCAGAGCAGAATTATTTTTGAAAAAATCTACTACTCCCTCCGGCCCGTAATAAACTTCTCAGTTTGACTTCACGGGTGATAAGCTGAAAAACAAGGTCACCAAACGAACTCATTTTTTTACAAAAATGTACAACATCAAATTCTTTGAATATTCAGATTCTAATACATGTAATAGAACTCTAATCATATAAATTCAATCTTACATATTTGAGTGAGGCTCTAATGCCCAACCAAATTTTATAAATAATTGAACTTTAGTTCGCGTGAACGGGACTCTAATGTACAACACCAATGAAACATATGATTATCCTTTTTTTTAATCCAGGGGGTATGAGGGGGGCTGGGGGGCCTGGAGTAATCATGACTGAAACTCACTTCATTGAGTTTCAAACCCTTGTGCCTAGCAGGATTCGAACTCAAGATCTCCCACTAGGCACGGTAACCTTACAATCAATTGGGCTGTAATGCTTGGCTGAAACATATGATTATCCAAAATAATGTAAACTCCACATACTATCATTTCTCATTCAACACTTTTTCTCATCGTCCCTCATTATATAATTAATGAGCCTTATAAATAATTAATACTCCATAACTATTGCAACAATTAGCACATAAACAACACTATAAGTATATAACCACAAATTCATACTCCAAAATATGGTGATTCCTCATCCGTCTTCCATGATGGTGCTAAGTCATAAAGACGTCGATTATAGCTAAACTTTTGATCATATCATATGAATAGTTCTCATTGGTATTTCTCACCCGAATCCATACCAAATCAATACTACCGGGGCATGCCCCGGGTGTTACACTAGTTTCCACTGTAATCGACTGATTATATACTTTGTATTGTCGTTCTTTTTTTACAATGGAAAACCAAAAAATGAAAAGACAATAAATGTGACTATCACTCGATTCTCATTGACCAAGAAGAAGAGATGACAGGAGATATATTGCGTGATTAGCACTCAAATATGGTGCAGTCGGAATAGACTAATACATGGCACCGATCAAATCAACGTTTAATGACCTGTTGACCTTGGAAATAACAATACACAGATGAGAGTGATCCGACCCGGCCATATTTCATTTGGTGGATTGGGCGGCAAAATTGGCCTCCATTCCACTTGTTTTTATATAGAGTAAGATTTGTAGTCCTGCTAAAGAAGAGGTCTTACACACCCCCTTTGTTCATCTTCTACTGTAAATATGGGCTTTGAGGAGTAGGCAGGCAGTTCGATGATTGGCATAATCTTAAAAATCAAACTTAAACTCCCTCCCTCTAATGGAGAACCAAAGTTCATCATGCGGTTGTGAGCACATTAGCTACAACAACAGGAGATGGACAATCTGCCCGGAAAATTACAAGTTTGGAGCATCAATGAGATGTCCACAAGGTAATTTCTTGAACAAATTCATTTGCTTGATGGAAATGCATGATTACAAGAGGTTTCCCGCATCCTTAAAATCAGAGCAACAGAATATTGCACAGGGAAGCGGAACTCTAGAGAAACTTGCATTTCATACTTCTTACCACAAATATCAAAATGAACTCAATTTCATACTTCGGTTTTGGGGTGGTTTAAAGTCGTAGGGGTGCGGGAGTAAGGGGCATGAGATTTGGAAAGAAGAGAAAACAAATGCGGTAAACATTTGAATTCGGGAGGGGAGTGAGGTTAAAGTGGGAAGACTTTTATATGGGATGTCAAAGGTGTAAACATTTTTTGTAATCAGCTATAAATTGGGTTTTAAGAGTTCTAAGAGTTCTGACTACCGGCTATATTAGAGCATCTTCATCCATAATTCTCAAATATTCTGTTTTTATGTTTTTGTTTTGCCATGTCATTGCCTTATAATAAAAATCTAAGTTTACTAAATCTCCTTCAACCATGATCTCTGTTTATTTAGTTTTTATGGAGTTCTTTGTTATTTCCAATGAAATATTTCAGTTATTCTAGATTAAAAAACATTGTTGCATTAAATGTGTTTATTGAAAATTGAATCATCTCAAATGATCTAGGATTCAATATTTGATACTAGATTTTTCATCTAAATAATCTTTCAACTAAAAAGATGCCCTTATGCATCTTTTTACACTCTAATACGAAGTAGTTATTTTTAAACCTGTCAATTTATCAAATAAACTTTGACAATAAAGTAACTTAACAGTCAACCGAAATAGCTAACACAACTAGTCATTACTAAACCACTATCATAACTAGCTAAAAGCTAACAACCGATTGCCAAAGAATGTTATTGTTTCTTAGACTGTTAGTTATTTACAAAGTATATTGAAGTGTAATCACAAATAGAGTAATGATTTGGTCAGGCACGCCTCACGGGATCTCTCATCCCGCTTAAATAGTTTGAGGGTCTTTCGCGTTGAATTTTTTGATGAATTTTTTGGAATATGTTTTTCATTAAGTGCAGATTATGTCAACAAAATTTCATCTTAAAATTCAATCGGAAGGTAAGTTAAATAAATAATTTAAAAACACAACGTTTTTCAATAATTTAATTACTTGACTTCCCGATGCAATTTTAAATTGAAATTTTGTGGACATAATCAACACTTCATGAAAATTATGATAAAAAAAAATTATCAAAAAATTCGGCGTGAAAGGCTGTCAAACAGGCTTGACCAGACGGGGGATCTTTCAAGTGCGCCTAACCGGATCTCTACTCATCAGAAATAATTGATACTCCCTCCGTCCCTAAAAGAACTTCCAACTTTCCCTTTTGATCCGTCCCAAAAAGAACTTCACTTTCCCTTTTTGGCAAAGAATTTGTGGTTCACAGCAATTCTTACACATTATTACACATTTCTTTTTCCTCTGCACAACTCTCCGCCACACAATTCTCACTTTCTTAATCCGTGTACCATTTGTACTACGGAAGAACAATTAGGGACGGATGGAGTACTTCATAATACTATGTAATAAACATTTTTGAAAAAGTCTACTCTCTTTACACTCAATCGTACAAAGTATACAAAACTGTACTACATTAAAAAAATCCCACATTCACTTGGCAATAAACTAAGAAAGTAGAAGAGTCTATTTACTAACACTATAATTAGCTGTATTGACTAATTTTTTTGAAATTGATTAAGTTTTAGTTGAAGCGGATGAATCTATAATTAGTTGAATTCATTGATTTTGAACATATATATTCTAATTTTTTTTTATAAATAAAGAAAAAATTATATGAAAAATAGCTAAAATTGTCATATCTACTGTAATTTCAATCAATTCAACCACAAAAGTAACTTCAATCTTACTTATTTTGATTATTATTGAACAATTCAACATACATATGAAATAAAAAATTACATACTATTTGATTAAAAATTTGACAAATTTGACTATAAGGATGATAAATAAATTGGATATCACCAAAAAAGTTGGAAATATATTACTGTAAAAACTAAAAACAACGAGATGAAACAAACACTCCGCTATTAACCACACATCATTCTTCTTGGCTGAACTTGATAAGATAATTCATGGACATCTCACATAACAAAAGTGAAAAAAGAGTCATGGAGTGAAAGGAAAATATTGGTTAAAGTGAACAGAAAACGAGAGCTTGAAAAGGGGAAGTAATACCGCATATAGCATGTGCGGGACCAGAGAGAAATTCCAAATTTAATTGTATATACCATCTCTATCTAATAAGTTTGTTGTACCTCAACAAACACATACATCATGACCTGATTTTGGGATTTCAGAGAAAGCCCCATCTTTAGTTAGTTCTACAGCCTGGTTCCTGAGGTAGGGAGATCAGAAGGCTGAAGAAGAAGATGGCTGGAGGAGTAATTGCAGAAGCTGGGGTGAGCAGAGAGAGGGCTAAGGAGTACCAAGGAAGGGTCACCCCATATGTCATCATAGCCTGTTTAGCTGCTGCTATTGGAGGGTCTCTTTTTGGCTATGACATTGGAGTTTCAGGTTAGTAGAGGTTCTTGATTTCACTCTTTTGGATAAAGTGTTCATAGAAAGTAACATTCTTTTCATCCCCACCCACCAGCCGGTTAGATGAAAGAGGGGTAGAAACCCGCACGGGTAGCTCAGTTGCCGTGTGAAGTTCACAGAACCTGAAATAAGGCTGAGCCTCTGGTGCGCACGGGAAAAAGGCCTACCATCATTGGACCGACTGAGTCACCGCCGTGATTAACATACTCCCAAAAATCCTGTCGGGTCGGGGTATGGGGGGCTCCTGGGGTGGGAGATTCCACCTTTTGGACTAAATGAAAGAGGGGTAGAAAAGTGTTGACAAAAGTGTCTTCTTTTTTGGGGTGGGGGCATTATGTAGGAAAATTGATTTGTGGAAACATCACGGATTCCTGATGTACACTTTCTTATATACATCGGTATACCCTCGTGTTTGTGAGAGTTTATTTTTATTTCAGTTCACAGACAAAAACTAGCTTGTTTTGTCTGTGAAAAATTCCACAGATAAAACAAGCCAGTTTTTGTCCGTAGACTGAGATTCACAGACAAAAAAAACTCTCACAGACGGTAGATTGTGTCTTAACATACTGTTGTGAAGAAAAAATACAGTTGTTGCTGAACGGTGAAAATGAATTAATTCTCAATACTCCTCAAAATAATGAAAAATTCTCGGTGTACATCAAAGTAGTATACAAATTGTACAAAACTTTTTTGTTGTGTGTACACGCAAACAAGTTTGAAAAGGGACATGATTTGAGTGTACGAATGTCATGTACACCAAGAATTACCCCAAAATAATTACTCATGCTTTTGCCTATGTCACTTATGTGTTTGTAGGTGTATGTATACTATTCCTTCCATATACGGAGCAATACTCTTCGATCTCTTTTAAACTTCTTAACTGAAACTTTATATTTCTATTTTAAAAATCAAGTAACACTCATCAATGACAATTCAATCATTAAATCTTAAAATGTTACACATATAACACCATTGTTATTATTTTATTATCAATGATTTAATTATATTATATTCTAAAAATACTTCTCAATATATACTCGAATAATTATAGAGAATATTTAATTTTTTATAAACAATTGTATCATTTTTCAAAAAATAATAATTAAACCGGATGAATTTCTTCCAAAACGGATATGTCACAACTCATCATTAATTTGTAACGATTGAAAAAGGAATCGAGATAAATGAAAGTGGAAATGCCATTTTCCATTACTTGCAGTCTAAAACAGATACTTGTATGTCACAAGTAGTTATGGCAGCCGAGTTATGTGTTCGGATGTATACCACACAAAAGAAAGGATGGTGTTAAAACAATTTAAATATTTGTTCAACAAAAGATTGCGGTCATAGAAGTAAAACATATCCCATTCTTTGTTAGGTTATTCAAATTTAAATCATAGTGTTTGTGAAAGTTTTTTTTTCTGCCACACTTTACTGTTTTATAACATTGAAATTAGTTGAAACTATTAAAATTTGTGAAATTCAAGTTGAATCGATTGAATTGGTTGAATCTGCTGAATTATGTAAAATTATATTTAAAATATAGTTTATTAATACAGAAAAATTATAGAGAAAGTTCCCAAAATAGGAATAAACATGTTTTGGAATTTTCAAAACATGATTGTTATGTTTTTCTTCCCGAAATAGGAATATCATGACATTGTTTACCGTCACTTTGATGTCATTATCATCAAATAGTTGTACTATTAGGCATTAACATGACACTATTTTGGGAAAAAAACATAACAGTTCTATTTTGGAATTTCAAAACTTATTTACTAAATAGTTACAATACTATGCATTAAGTGACACTAAAATAGTTGTTTTCAACAACTTTAGTTAGAATTTCAACTTAATTTATTTTGATTACTACGAGTGACGAAGCGAGAAATCTATTATTAAAGAACCGAGCTTTGAGAATTTTACATTGTGAAGGCAAAACGAAAATACGTGCACTTCATCAATAGTTTTAGTCGAAATATCTAGTCAAATTATTATCAAGGGAAATTTCTTAGGATATTACTAAAACTCAATGAGTTTCCCAATCTATGACCTAACTAGTTTTTCGACTTTTGTATGACCAAAAGTCTAAAAAATAAATAAATTTCGTTTATATATAAAGGTTGAATGACGAAAATACCCTTATTTCAAATATGTTCATTTTGCACTAATTTCTTCCGATTAAAATTAATGCACTTTATATTGCCGTTAATGCACAACATTAATGCATGATTTTACTGCACATCCGATAATCACTGCACTTCCGCCAAAATTAATTCTCTTCTCATTCACTTGAGGAATTTATTTTTTGATTTTGTTTTTTGTTTTTTTAGATTAAATAATTGTTATTTTACCTCTAATTAAATATATTGCATTTCATGGTGGCATTACTACCCTGTGTTACTGAACTAATGATCATAATCACTACATTTGCCGTCAATGCATTCATTTACTGCCCGTATACAACACTATTTATTGCCATGTTTGTAGTCCATATTCAACACCCTTAATGCTCTATGTTATTGCATTATCGGTCATAATCACTGCACAACAAACTTTTTTAATGTATTCATTCACTACTATGTACAACACACATATTGTCATACTCAATAATATCTACTATGATGTTCATTGCGCATATTCACTGCACATATTTAATGCTCCAAAACCCTAATTTTAAAATCTCCAAATTTTAAAAAAGAAAAGCACAAATGAGATGGTGGGCCTAATTAAGCTAGCCTCACATCCAAAAGTAGTGGATCCAGTCTGCACACATTTCAAAAAAGCCAAACCTAGTTATTTTTTTGATTCGATGGTTCATCTACTAAAGATGGAGGCGGCGAATTGGAGCATTCATCTATTTCACCCATGGAGGCGGACGTACAGACGTGAGTTTAGATGGAAGCGGTGCGTTGAAGTGCTGCTATGGAGTTAGACGGCGGCGGCTGGTTGGGGACGATGGGCGGCGCACAGAGCTTGGGGCAGCGGCGGCGCACAAAACATGGGGCGGCGGCAGCGCACAGATCTTGAGACGGGCGGCAGCGCACATGGTTCTCCGTCCATCTCTGAACAGGTGTGTCTGGCCGCCGGAAACCTCCGAACCAACCATCGTGCGTGACTCCTGAACGGCGAGCAGGCGGCCACGCGGCTAGACGGTGGCGGCAGACGATCGTGCAGCGGTTGTGGGAGGCGGGTGTGCAGCGCTTAGGATTAGGGAAAATGAGTGGAAGATTAGGGTTTTATAAACATATTCTAAACGGTATATTAGTCCATGAAATTTATTTATTTATACATTAATTACGAAATTAATTAAATATTAGAAATAAAAATATTATTTTGGAAATAAAACTAGTTAGGTCATAGATGAGGAAACTCATGGAGTTTTAGTCACACCCAAGGTAATTTTCTCTATTATCAAAGAGCTCTAAGAGCTCTCCTTTCATGATACTCAAGTTTACATTTTTTTATGACTTCTTATTGTCACGTCACTTGGTAATCTCAAATAATCTCCCAACCTATCAATTTCTTCTCATCCATGATCTTAATTTACCTAGTTTTTTTTACAAAGCTAATTATTATTAGTTGCCTACAAAACGGGAAGAGGAGCCTAAAAGTTGTGAATAATCTCAAAATAATCTAGCTTTAGAATTTGATACCAAATTATTTTATCAAATAATCTCATAAAACAATCTCAACTCTTCATCCATGATCCCAAAAATAATCTACGGATGTAAATGCCGTTAGTAATCTGACTCATATATGACTCGAAATAATTGAATGAGCAGAATTACACTTGATGATTATCTGTTTGACGAACCGTTCGAAATGATATTGTTCTGAAATAAAAGTATATACTCCATAACAATATTGCCCAAATACGGAGTATATTTTATGATTGAAATAAAGAAAAAATTATACTCCAGTCTTCATATGAAAATTTGTTAAAATGATTCTCTACAATAACTTCAATCAATATATAACTAGAAAATTAATTTCAACTTTGATTTTTTATTATTACACAATTCAAAACGCGAAATCAAAAGTTACTGTTTTTGATGAAAAAATTGATTAATAAACCTAACAAAAAATCATGTTTACCAAAATGGGCTCCCAATCTACTAACTATTTCTCTGAAGTATAATTAATCAAAAAAAGGTGGAGGAATAAAAATGAGATATGACGATAGTTGAATATTGAAAAACGTCATATTCACACGATAGTTGGGGACCTGGAAAATGAAAATTAGAAAAGCGAGAACCTAAATTTCTACTTGTATTTGAGAATAGTTAAAAGTAAACAGCTACTAAAAAATACGATTGACACAATAATCAAACAAATCAAATTAACCAAACTAGAAAAGGTATACGTAGCAGTAACTTAAGGGATCAAAATTATAGGCAGCCATAGAACATACACGATAAACCATTGTGTTAAACCAGAACTTCCAGCCTAGCTGGTTGTGAGGTTACCCTGCATAGGAGATACTAATCTGTGAAACTATGCTTCCCAAAAAACCCTTCAAATGGTAGGGCCAAGCGGTGTATACTAATCCGTAGGGCCAAACCAAAGTCGTGTTTCTGAGGTAAGGGGCCGTGAAAGCGGTGGAGCTAGTCACTATAAAAAGTCGACAATTGCGATAAGAGGTGACTATGCTAAATAGGACATCTGCAAGTACCTGAGACAGAGTCCCACTATCTATCTGTTAGATCGAGATTATAGTCCAATTTACATCCTCCCAACGTACCGTCCGGTCGGGGTTGAGAGACCCTCAAGGATGGGGTGTTAATCAATTTTTTGATAAACCATTGTGATAGTGTTAATTCGGGCTTAATGCATCAAAAATTTCGGTACATAATATCCATTAAATTTTTCATCATGTGATTCAAAAAATGTATAAAAACTTTCTGTGTTATAATTAAGGAAAAAATAATTTAAATATCTTAAACTTTGAAGGGGTGTGAGATAAGCACCCAAACTTGCATATGTAATATATATACTCTAAATTTTATATAAAATTTATGTTAAAAACATGATAATATATTTTTTACAAATGTAATTTTATGGTGTTAAGTGCATAATATAAAATACAAAAAAAATTTATGAGGATGCAATTAAGAATAAATTATACCAGACACCAGATGTAATATTATTTATTTCAAAAATGAAATTATAGAATGTTAATTGCATCCTAACAAAGCTTAGAGTATACTAAGTTATGTAATTATTCCATTAAATTTTTATTTGTAAAAAAGCACACGATCATGGTGTGAAAATAACTTTTTAGATAAAGTTCGGGATATGTATATTACATATGCAAGTTTGGAGTATTTATCTCACACCCCATTAAAATTTGGGATATTTATATTATTTTTCCCTATAAGTATTCATGCCCTAATATAAACGAAGAACAAATTGGACTGGCTAATAAAATGAGAATGTTTAGTATTTTTGGGTTGTGTAGATACCCTTACAAACTTACGTGTTTAATCACAAAATTAAGACATAATAAGTCTCCAGACTTCAAAATTTGTTGCTTCAAGGTACTATATTGATGATTAATTATAACACTTAGTGCAGTCTTTAAATCACCAACAGCTAATGTTTAGACTTTGTATGTGATGAGTTTGGCGCCAAAATATATTAATATACACTAGAGTTTGTCCCTGCTAAGAGAAGTGGTCATCATCTAAATCCGTCCCCAAGAGCAGAGATCTGCAATGGGAGAGAGAGACGGCGGTGACCGGTGATGATTCGCCAATGGAGGAGGAGGGTGTGAGCAAATCAGCAAATTAAAACAAGGCTGGTGGGAATATAATAAGCAACTCCATTTTTGGAATTGAAGATAACCACCAGCTTCTGCATTTAGCATATCTCTTACACATCTGTTTAGGCTTTAGACTTTAGAATAATTTATGTTACTCAACTCCATACATTACTTTAGTTTTGTATAATGTGTTTAAATACATAACAGGGGGAGTGACATCAATGGATGAATTTCTGGAACAATTCTTCCACACAGTATACGAAAAGAAGCAGCACGCGCATGAAGATAACTACTGTAAATATGACAGCCAAAGTCTTTCAGCCTTTACCTCATCTTTGTACTTAGCAGGATTAGTCTCATCCCTAGTTGCATCACCTATCACAAGGATCTATGGGCGTCGAATAAGTATTATATGTGGCGGGATCAGTTTTCTAGTTGGAGCTTCTCTTAACGCCTCGGCGTTAAACCTGGCCATGCTTCTTGTAGGCAGAATTATGCTTGGCATAGGCATTGGCTTCGGCAACCAGGTCAGCATTTCCAGAAATATGTAATGCTACATCTGTCCCGCTATATTTGGGATATGAGAAAGTGAACGCATATTGAGAAAATTGAAGTTATGTTTGACATTACGACATATATTGGATTTGTGAAGTGTTAGCGAGTTCCAATGACACAAATATTAAGTATATGACAAACTTAATAGAACGGGTGATAAAGAAAAAATGGACACAGATATGGGAATGTAGAGAGTATTGAGTTAGTCTAACTCATCCCAAAAGGATGATCTTCTTGGGTGAGGTTTACCACATACTAAAACATGATGTGGGACAGTTACCATGTCTTTTAACCCAAATTAAGTTGGACAAAATGATGGTTGATATGTGGATGAAAATAGACTCAAACAAGGTACCCTAAAATTTGGAGTGTCAAATAAACATATAAACCGAAACCAGACTCTTATACCGTATTAAAAGTTCTTCCAAAGGAGAGCATGTGAGAGGTTTATCTCATATTTAGATAATAGATACTCCGTATAACTTTGGTAAACATAAGTTGTGAGAGACTTACCATGTACGATGTAGCACTACATCAATGAGCCCGAGGCAAGCTATTTGTTAATAAGTTAATAACTAGCTATATGCCGCTGGTTTTTCAGGCGGTTCCATTATATTTGTCAGAGATGGCGCCAGCCCACATTAGAGGAGCCTTGAATATGTTGTTTCAACTAGCAACAACTCTCGGAATCTTCACAGCGAACATGATCAACTATGCAACAATCAAGCTTCATCATACCGCGGGATGGAGGCTCTCATTAGGCCTTGCAGCACTGCCAGCTCTACTAATGACGATGGGCGGGATACTTCTTCCCGAAACGCCAAACAGCTTGATTGAACAGGGGAAATTTGAGAAAGGAAGAGCTGTTCTAGAGAAAATAAGAGGAACTCAGGATGTGGGTGCTGAGTATGAAGACATGATCGACGCGAGCAACTTGGCGAAGGCGATTAAGCATCCATTCAGAAACATTCTGCAGAGGAGAAACCGGCCTCAGCTGATCATGGCGATATGCATGCCAACCTTCCAGATACTCACTGGGATAAATATTATACTCTTCTATGCTCCCGTGTTGTTTCGGAGTATGGGGTTCAAAGGAACTGCAGCGCTCTATTCATCTGCTCTGACAGGCGGTGTTCTTGCTTTATCTACGGTTGTGTCCATGGTCACTGTTGATAGTTGGGGCAGGAGAGTTCTGCTCATTGCTGGTGGAATACAAATGATCATCTGCCAGGTAATAATAGATTATATATGTTGTAATACTCAACATATCATCTCTACCAAAACTCAAATAAATCCTGTAACTTGCTATCTAGCAATGCAAGGGCAAATGCTGCTAGGGGTCACCATCAGTTCCAAGACCAAACTGGACGGGAACCGGTTTGGACTGGAATCGAAATCTCTGCAACTATTTGACCGAGGCCTCATTTCGTAAAAACTTTTTTATGGTAAAAAGTAATGAAAATCAATTGTGGTCCACCCAAATTCAGTTTTTTTGGGATATTTATGCTGCCTTGTGCTGGATGCAGGTTATTGTAGCCATAATCCTGGGGCTGAAATTTAGAGATGATGAAGTGCTATCAAAAGGCTACTCAATCCTAGTGGTGGGTTTCATCTGCCTCTTTGTTGCGGCCTTCGGGTGGTCTTGGGGTCCTCTGGGATGGACAGTGCCGAGTGAAATCTTTCCGATGGAGACGCGGTCAGCAGGACAAAGCATCACGGTCTCTGTGAATCTCTTCTTTACTTTCGTCATTGCACAATCTTTCCTCTCGCTTTTGTGTGCTCTCAAGTTTGGGATTTTCATCCTATTCGCTTGCTTTATAACCGTCATGACCATCTTTGTCTTTCTCTTTCTACCTGAAACAAAGGGGGTGCCCATTGAAGAGATGATGCACCTGTGGCAGAAGCACTGGTTTTGGAAGAACATTGTTTCTGGCATCCACTCACAAGCTTACGAGGCGAAAACTAATGGAAGACACAATGAAAGATGCTAATATCGGATCAGGATGATTTAAGCTAACCTTTTGTCCCTTCTTTTCTATTGGTTAGTCTTTGTCAGTTGAAAATAGAGACTCTCAAACAAGTATTAAGCTAGTGTAAATAGATAAATGCATCACATGAATACATGAGTGTTTGCAATTTCTTAAAAGCAGTAATGCAGTATTGTGTTTTTCGTTTAAAAGAAGCTACAAGTGTTGTTTTAAATAAATAGTTATGCACAGTGCTTATAAGCAACGTTTAGAATTTGATACTGCTCAGGATTTATCTCATTAACGGTGGAGAAGAGTAAATCGAGAGCAGTACAAAATATACATGATACACAATTACGTAGAAGACTAGCTAATATAGTTGTACAGTTTAACTAACTAACTAACTAACTGGATAACCACTAATGGTTTTAACTAGTATTATTTAGCTAGTCTACATCATATCTTCCCCCATTTTTAAAAGACTTGTCCTCAAGTCTCTATGCTACTCCAGGCAACTTAGCCATGAATTCAGGAAATTCTTTCACCAAATGATCATAGGATTTCCACATAGCATCTGTTACTGGACATCCTTCCCATCGAATGAGATACTGCACTGCAGCTGCATTTTGTCTCTTCACTGTTCTTTCTTCTGTCCAGTACTTCTTCTGGTTTAACATCTCTTTCAGATGAATTTCCTTGCTTCCATTTAGGAATATGGCATATAGCAGGTAATTCTCCTCTAAAACCTTTCAATTGAGATACATGGAAAACATTATGGATTTTGGTTAGACCTGCACAAAACCGGGCCGGGCCGCCTGGGCCGCCCATATAAATGGGCGAGTTTGGACACATGTTTAGCCCACAGGCCCGGCCAGGGGCGGACGTAGAATTGACATTCAGGTGGGGCAAAAATTGTTTAAAATTTTTTTATGTCAAAGACAAAAACAAATATAATGAGAATAAGATTTTTTGCCAAAATCAAATACGTAAAACACCTCAAGCCCATAAACATTGCACTAATTTTCAAATTGACTAATTGAACTAATTACTTTTTTAGGCTAATATTCAAAAGCCCAAAGCATGCCCATTAATTATTAGTATGAAGTCCATTCAACGAGTTTAAGTTTATAGTAATTGATCCTAGGAGATCCATTTTAAATAGATATGTATGAAAGAAGAATCTCTCTCTTCTTTCGGTGTTGAATAAAGAGATTTAAGGGTGAAAAAAACTGAAATTTTAAAACACAATACTCTCCATAGCAAAATTTAGGAAATCCATCTCTCAAAGGGATTCAAACTCATGTTGCTCAAATGGAGTATCCTCACACGACACATCTTATTCCATCCCACCATCCCGGTTTTGTAGACATTTCAACGTTCTTAATTATTATACTATTGTTGCACAACACTATAAAAAAAATGCAACATGTGAAATTTTACACTATTCGCATGTTCTACGTTTTATTTATTAATGTATTAAAAATTTATTTTTAAAATATATTGTTAAATTTGTTTCATCCTAAATTTTCAACATCTGAATTTTCTATTTTTTTTTACTAAAAGAGAATAAAATATACTAGTTCTAATGATCATTGTGCTGACATGTTGTACAATGTCTAATAAATTGACCATCATCTTTATGCAACCCCTTCCATGTAAATAACATTTTGTTTCTCTTGGTTGTAGCATCTTTCCTAGAATGACCACCTTCTGATGAACTATGCATCCAGATTAGGATAGTCTTTCTTACCTCTTCATCCGCCCCAACCACTATTTTCCCTTTCTTTTTAAGGATTCCTTGTTGCACTTGATAATGAGGCATGTCGGTATCACCTTGCTGTAATTTCTGTTCTAATTCAACTAAAAGGAAATCTTTAGCATAGCTATCTTTTATAAGTTGAATTAAATCAGATTTTATTTCAGTTAAGGCCATGCACAGTATCTCATTCCCTTCTTTTCTAGACGAAGCATCAGCCACGACATTTTCTCTTCCTGCTTTGTATGTCATCTCATATGTCAAACCCATCATTTTAGATAACTAGAAATGCTGGAAGGGAGTACATATTTTCTGTTGGAGCAGCCACTTCAGATTCTTCTGATCAGTTCTGATCACAAAACTTTGTCCAGTTAGGTATTGTTCCCGCTTTTGGACTGCAAACACTATGGCAAGAAGCTCTTTTTCATAAGTAGATAAATTCTGCCATTTGATGCTCAAAGTTGTACTTATAAATGCAATAGGATGGCCATCTTGAATTAGTACTGATCCTATACCATTATTGGAATCATCAGTTTCAATAACAAACCTTTTCTATAAAATTAGGTAATGCTAATACAAGGGTTGAACATATAATAAGGATTTCTTGAGTGTTTTAAAAGCAACTGCAGCATAATCTTCAAAGGTTGACTGATTGGAGCATAATCTTCACAAATTTCATGTAGTATCCTGCTAGACCCAACAAACTCCTCACTTCTTTCATGTTTTCGGGAATAAGCCAATCTTTCACGGGTTGAACCTTTTTGTCATAAGTTTGCACACCTTCTCCAGATATAAAATGGTCCAAGTATTCAATTTTGTCAATAACAAAACCACATTTTCTTAATAGAGGCTTGAAAATGTGATTCATCCCTGCTTGGAAAGAAGTTGGTGCGTTGGTAAGCCCAAAAGGCATAACCAGAAACTCATAATGGTCTTTGTGTGTTTTAAAAGCAGTTTTAAACACATCCTCATCATTCATCCTCGATTGATGATATCTTGCCCTTAGGTCAAGTTTGGAGAAGACCTTGGATCCACCCAATTCATCTACCACTAGAATAGAAAATTTATCCTTGACAGTCTTCTTGTCGAGTTCTCTGTAATCAATACACAACCTCCATGATCCATCCTTTTTGCCAATCAATACTGCAAGTGGAGTAAATGGACTAGTATTGTTTTGGATGATCCCTTGGTTGAGCATTTCCTGTATAACCTTTTCAATAATATCCCTCTGTTTAAGAGAGTATTTATAAGGTCGGATATTAATAGGTTGAGTCTCATTTGAGAGATGAATTTTATGATCATATATTCCTCTTTTATGTGGAAGTTCTTTTGGTTCTACAAAAACTTCTCAAAACTGATCTAGTAAAAGTTTAATTGGACCCAATTCTTCATCTTTGTTTGTTTTGGTTTCTATAGAACCGAGACTCGTCTCCATTTGATTTGTTGTTGTTGTCTTAGATATTTGTAGCAGATATAATTGGGTTGCATTTTCTAGCTTGTGGGCAGAAGGTATTGATGATCTATATTGCCTAGATCTAGAAGGAGAAGAAGGAGAGAATGAACGCAATTAGAGAGAAGAAGAGTCTAGCATAAAAAAATGAATCCCCCTTACAAGATAGGCATAGAGCCTATTTATAGGAAAAACGGGCTAACCTAGGAAATAGTGGGCTGGGCCCAATACAAGGAATACACAAATAATAAACGGGACCTTTGGGCGTGTGATATGGCATCGGGCCGATACAAAGAACGGGCTAGGCCCAATACAAGAAATACATCATCTTGAGTACCCTCGGTCCTAGATAATATATATCCATCATGAGTCCCCCACTCTCCGAAGCGAAAGTGAAGCTTGAGGTGAGAGAGAGTAAGTCTTCGAGGTAAAAGGGAGTAGTCCATATGCTCTGTGAACTACCGTCGTCGCTCGTGATGCCTTGCTCGGTGTGGAAAGCCTCTCCGCCCTTACCCACGATGAGGTGATGCCTCGTTAAAAAACCTCCGCTGGGAAAAAACCCTGTGGGAAAAAATTTCTAGCCGAGGAAAAAGAGTGCACCGCCCTCGAAGCGGGTGTAGGGGAAAAGTGCATATACTGCAGAGCTAAGAGGCGATCAGAGGGGATGACCTGGACCAGTCTTCGAATGAGCAACGGTCGCCATCCATGAGGAGGATGACTGAGACCGGTCTTGTCCGATGCTAAGTGTGTCATGATCCAAGCTCGTCTGGCACGGGCTCGAAATCGTCTGGTATGAGCTCGACATCGTCCGGTATGAGCTCGGGCTCGCAAAAGTGAGCACGGAGCTCAGTGGGAGTGAGCTCGGCGTCGGCAGGAGTGTGCTCGGGCTCGAAAGGGGAGACCTCGGCGTTGGTAGGAGTGTGCTCGGGCTCGAAAGGGATGACCTCGGGCTCGGCAGGAATGACCTCGGGCTCGGCATGAATGACCTCGATCTCAGCAAGGAATGACCTCGGGCTCGGTGGGCTGACCTCAGCGTTGAGTGCAAGCTCCTCTTTGCTTACTTGAAGATAGTAAGTCCCCCAGTCCCCCACTCCTTAAAGCGAGCGGAGACGAGGTGAAAAGGAGTGTACATTTCTTCTTCAGTTGTACCTACAAAATAATAAGAATATAAAATGTAGACAAAGAGTGTAGTATATGTCAAGCTCGGCCTCGGCTAAATTATGCTCGGCCTCAGCCATACCAAGTTCGGACTCATCCGACAATATGAGGTCCCTTTTATGGAACAAAGATGATAGATAGATTAGTTTCATCAACATATGAAAATCAAGTCATCAGATAAAGGTGGCTGGAAGGTGGGTCGAGTTAATCAACCGACAATCAGCATCAAGTAATAGATTCAGTCATCAAATAAAGATGATCGGACTTTAATCTGTCATAATGAGAAGACCAGGTCATCAAATAAAGAAGACCTGGAATTAATCGAGTTAATCGATTATAGTAAATAGACCCAGTCATCAAATAAAGATGGTCGGGAATGAATCGAGTCGGCACCCATGAGGTGAGTCGATCGTAATAAATAAACCAGGCCATCAAATAAAGATGACCGGGAAATGACCGAATAGTCGATCAGGATAAGAAAGGCCGGATCACCAAAATAAAGATGACCGGGAAATGACCGCGGTAGTCGATCATGATAAGAAGGCCGGATCATCAAATAAAGATGACCGGGAAGTGACCATGACAGTCGGTCATGATAAGAAGACCGGATCACCAAATAAAGATGACCGGGAGATGACCATGATAGTCGGTCATGATAAGAAGACTGGATCACCATATAAAGATGACCGGGAAATGACCATGATAGTCGGTCATGATAAGAAGGCCGGATCACCAAATAAAGATGACCGGGAAATGACCATGATAGTCGGTCATGATAATAAGGCCGGATCATCAAATAAAGATGACCGGGAAGTGACCAAGATAGTCGGTCATGGTAATAAGGCCGGATCATCAAATAAAGATGATTGGGGAGTGACCGAGATAGTCGATCTGCTAGGCTTGAGAAGTTGGCCGAGCAGTTGTAATCCAGCTGCGAGGTCTGCAGACGAGCT